CCTGCTCCAGTCCACACTACTGAGGCAACAGAGCTCCTTCTCTCTCAGACTGATCCAACCTTGGTGCCATAAAGAACACTAGAGCCTATCCCAGCTATGATAGGGCGATAGTCAGGGAACAACCTGGTCAGGTTGCCAGTCATGTCTTTAGACTGTGCAGTTAGTGGGCGGAAACCAGAGTACCTGGAAAGAATCCAAACTCCACGCAGAAGGGCCCAGCCAGGTGGTGGAATTGAACTCAGGACCTATGAGGCAACAGTGCTAATCACCACGCCACACTAACGGAAACTCTGTAAACTCTTTGCACTGTCTCACAGTCCTCACTCTGAGCCTGTGGCACTTTACTTTACCTCTGTTGTTTACTTATTGGTAATAAAGGTAGTATTGTGACTCTATAATTTCCCTCTTGGGATCAATAAAGAATCTATTAGGTAACAACTTCTAGTTTGTTAGAGGCCTAGTGGACGTTAAAAGGGGGAACCACGGCCCCAATTTACATTCCAGAGCCACTGTACCCAACCTTGGTTTGATGTTGCAGAGGTACGTCAGCTGGGACCACCACACAACATCCAGAACCTTGAGGGACTCAGGACAAATCCATCAATGTAGAGGGCTTTGGGCATCAAATAGTGTTTTTTTTTAACTACCTCAGTGTCCTCTGCTCCACTGATAGGCAAGCTGCCTCCCTCGTCGGATGCAGCACTTCATCCCCACCGTATAAAGTTTGTACAAAGCATTGCTTCACTGTCCTACCAAACATCTCCCATACTCCAGTTTTTGCTTAACCCACTCCTCTTGGTTCCTCTCATTACTAAATGCTTTGCAGCTCTTCAATAATCAATGATACAGACACTGGGGAAAAAAGCACAAACAGCAGTAATGTTTAACATAATTTATATTTATTTTCTTTTGAACAAAATGTTAATAAATGTATTTGTTTTACGTCCAAAAAAGGTCATGACTCGTGGGACGCATTTTATAAATAATTTCATCCAAGTCTTTTGTAGAAAAAAAAGAAAGTAAATTAGCAAACTAAAGCATCTCTAGTATGACAATATGACAACTTTATCAGATTTTTTTCCTCTATATTTGAACCCTTTCTCAATCCAAGCTTCATTTTTTGTATATTTTCCTTTAAGACCTCTTTCATCTCCTCAACTCACACCACAGCTTTAGACAACAGAAAAATGCAGCAAAGGTCTCAAAAAACAGACAAAAACCAAGGAGCCAAACAGAAAACACAGTGAGATTCCAACAGTGGGGGAAGTAGGGAGAGGTTAGGGAAGATATTTGGGATTCCACATCCTCAGGACATATTTACAACATAAAGGACAGGGTGCCGGTGGATGGATTGGCGTGGGGGCGGTGCTGGAAAGTGGTATGTTGATTCGGGGTGGGGTTCATCTGCATAGATCCACAGGACTCATATCATGAACAGCTAGAGATTGAAGGAAGGAGGGAGCACAAAGTGTGGGTCTATTACATCCACTGCTGTCTTCAAGGGAATGTAAGTTCTTGTCAACAGAGTTTGTCAAGGAAATCAAAACAAATCTCAAAAAATAAAAATAAAAAATAGAGCCAATGTGGAATGGTTGTGGCGGTGGTAGACGTAGGGGAAAAACTATGGACATCTTAAAAACCTGACTTACTTTTGGACTTTATCGTTTCGCTCTGACATGTGAGCGAAGAGCAAATCGATGGGTGGTAAATAATGTGAGGCTGTAAATGAGGAAAAAGCCAATCTGGAAACAAAGTTCACCATCAGCAAAACAAGAATGTCTTCATTTAGATTTGGTGTACTTAGTATACGTTTTTTGTCAGTATTTGCTCACGGGTGGTTCAAATCCCTATTTCTGCTGCCTAATAGGCGAGTTCAAACTAATCTTAATCCCTGCATGATCCATCCTCATGTAAATGTGCACTTTACTAGCAGCAGCCATGCAAAAAAAAAAAAAAAAGGAAAAAAGAAAGAAAATCACACGGATCAGCCCTTGAAAACTCCTCACACTCCTCACACGCTGACAGTAACACAGCCCTTTGCTAGTCTGTGAAAGATAGCGGTTGATCAGCTTGTCTAAGGGTGATGTAAGAGTCAACGGTTTGATAGATTGGGTGGCTGGCTAGTCACATGCACCAACTCTGTGATACTGACAAGCTGAGCCATCAGTAGTGAAGATGTCACAAAGTAGGACACTAACCCCAGCTGTTTGTTTTTTCCCTCCTATATTGCACTTTTGCCTCATTAGATTTATGCAGCAGAGGCACTCAAAGATCTCGGGGCCTCATTTATCAGAACTAAAAATGACGTTCTGTGGGATGCATGGAATGGGGCCTGCAGCACAGAGTTGTAGGCACGTTAGTGTTTTCTGTAGTAATTTAATAGACAACTAACTTGAAAATCAGAAAGGAGACATTTGCTCACTCGCCATATTGTTGTTGGTTAATACTGACAATGCTTTCAGCGATTCCATTTTTTCAACATCTTTCTTGCACATTGAAGTCTGAAGAATGATGTCAGATCTAAATTACTTGGACCATCCGAGGAGCATGTGAATGTGGAGAAAAAAGATTTTAGAACCAATTGACTGAAGATTTTTGTGAACATTTAGGGGCATTTGGCACTGTTGAACTTTTGTACACTTTGCTTGTCATTTTAATTTTCTGTTTTCCAGCTAGCTAGTAACATCAGTGCCATTCTCCTTGATTTTAGCTTAGACTTGTTATAAAAACGGTAATCTTTTTTCCCACAATGGGTGTCGCAATAACCATGAACTGTTTACACCAATATTTCACAAGTAAACGTTGGTATTGTACGGTGGCCCTGCAACTTAAGAAAACAGCATAACAGAAAAATTATGTGTCAGGAATTTACTTTTTATCTTTAAATTACACATTTGTGCTTTGTGTAGGGTGTGGCGCAGGACCCACATGCATGTGAAGTCATTGAGAGGCTGCCGTGGAAAGTTACTAGACTGCATAGCAACAGGGAGATAGGAAGGAGTTTTCCTTTACAGGAAGAAGACCTGTGATTGGAGCAGAGATGAAGCATGAGCCGGACACCAGACCAAATACAGGAAAGAGGGATGCCTATGGCGCCATGTGTAACTTGAACCCTCAACTATTTAATAAATTTTAAAAACTTATCATTTGAATTTTTTTCATGTTCTCTCAAAAAAAGAACACAGCAGCTGCAAAATCTCACAAAAACCAATGAAGTTAAATTAAAAAAACAATGTAAATAGAAAAAAGAGACGATAACTTCACGGAACAGTGGCGGAAGTGACAAGCTAACATTAAACAGCAAAAATGTAGCTACAGCATTATATGACTCACTATTAAAACGCTTCATCTGCATCTTTTTCTTCCTCACAACACTGATGAACCCTCAACATCTTTGAAGTGTATCTCTTTTTTAAAGTGTTATTTTTGTACTTTAGTTGTATTTTGTGTTCCTCTGCAGTGTCTCTCTATTTCCTGGTGTTCTCTCAAAAGTTGATTTGCATTTGACCACTCGGGACCACCGTAGTAGTTGTGTCCACAATGCACGTATAATATTACTGTAGCTACCCGTCATAATTGTAACTGTAAGTGCAATGGCAGAAATAATGCTACATAACAATTCTGACAGCGAAATTTGTTTCTATTTTTTAAATGACTTTTTAGGAGGTACTAAGATAAAACTGAACTTTTTTGGGGTCATAATTAATGACAAGTAACCCAAACATCCTGGAGAAAAGCTTGATGCCTATTAGAATAGAGCCTGCTGTTGGCCTCACAAACAACTGTGTGCAGTAAAAGTGACATCAAAACTGCCGGCGTGCGCTACACTTTGGTGTTTCAGATTGTCGTGTACTTCTTGATTTTTGTAACCTGCTGTACGAGCGGGTCGCTTCCATGATATATCAGTGGAATAGTGCTGTGATTCCGAGATTACAAAGACGGAGACTACTACAGCTGGAAACGGCGAGACTTTCTATAAAACAAAGTCTGCAATCCTTTTGATTCCAGTTTGGATTTCTTTTAATCCCACCAGCACTGATATGATTTCTTTATTTTTCCCTGAGAGGCAACATCTGCCGCTCAGGAGAATATTACAGTGAGTCTGGCGTGCCTTGAGCATCAGTAAATGGATACAGGGCTGTGGTGATGTCACAGTTTATAATGTCCATAGGCTAAGCTTAAGTGCAGTCATGTTGTTATGTAGTCCCTCATTAAGGTTAGCACTAAGGTCTTGACAAGTGTAACTGATAATTTGATAGCTTACGCTTGGCTGATAAATGAGGCCCCTGGTGTTTTGGCTTCATGCAACTGTCCTCTAGTGTCCCTGGGTTGTCCCTGCAAGTCTAAGTACTCGCCGTGCTGCCTGTCTGCAACACCAACACCACTGTATGAGGTAAACTGAACACTTTAGAAACCAGAAAACACCATTTCCCCCCGCCCAGGAGCGCTACACGGTGACTAATCTGAGCTTACTGTTCCTGCAACACCATGCAATCGTGAGCTGAGTTGTCACCACCTTTTCTTTTTTTTTGTAACCACTCCACCTCTCCTAACTTGCTTAACAACCCAACAAGCTAGAGGAGAAAGTGAGCCAGTCTCAGAGCACTTAAGGTCCTAAAATATGTAGGCATGTACTGTCATAAGGGGTTGAGGAAAGGTCCGGTCTGACAGAAACACAAGCTGAATATCAGAATACAGAATCACATACATTTTGTTTTCTGGGAAACAAGATCCACAAGTGATAGATGGAGCTGGTCCCAGCCGGCCCTCGAGCAACATCACATACAAGGTAGTAAAGAAGATCCGTCTAAGGTGATGGAGAGCAAGAAGTGGGAAACAGCTGATATGTCAAAAACATTCTGGCACCTGAAAGAAAGTGCAGCAAAAATCTAAAAGTAACGAATGAGAGTGCACACCTCATCGATGTCCATGTTTTCCTCTGACATGCTATCCGTACACACACATCGAAAACAGACGGAGGAGGGTGGAGAGAAGGGAGGGGGGGGGAGGGGGGGGGGACAATATGCTAGAAAACATTTGGATGGAATAGAAACAATGAGCAGGTTTCAAGTGGCAAGAGGTCAGTTCTTTTAGGGGTGGTGGTTCTCAAACATCTCTCTCCGGTTGATGTCCAATTCCAGCACCCTCCGCTCCAATTAAAACCTTCCCACTTCCTGTGGTTGGCGGTTCATCGGCAGCAGGCTTGTGGAGGCATTTCCAGCACATCTCACCAGCTGTGTCCCTGGCAGCCATGACAAGCCTTCGTCTTCCTCCCTGTCAACAATCGCTCTACGCAAGCTCCAGCCCTGATTAAACCCCAAGGTTCACTCCTCATTAGAAGCACTTTCCTCTGGCGAGAAAATGGCAGCCACGCCCACCAACGAAGAATTATGGGAGGCTGAAATGATAATGACAGTGTGTAGGAGGACAAGGGCCAGCAGGCAGATCTTCAGTCGCCCGCTGCACAGTCTCGGGGTGGCGGCGGAAGTGACCGAAGCCCCCACGGGCTGGCAGGAAGAAGCAGTTCTTTTTAGCGTGCCCCCTGAAGGGTTGTCCATTTTGGAGTCCCATCGGACGTCGCAGCACTCCGCCTCACTATCTGATGGATGGTTTCCCAAGAGACCTGAGAAAGAGAAGACACTGGATGAAAAAGCTGAGGTTCCCCTGCTGTGCACTTGTATTTATAACAGGGGGTCACTGGTAGTTTGGTGTTCTCACAGCAGATATACCAACTGTGTTCTGTATTCCACTGTTTTGCTTCACAATCAGCTGTTCACACGCTCATATGGAAGGCCAGAAGGAACCAAACCAAAAATAAGAAATGGCTCATAAATACATAAATATGCCATTAAATGTAAAAGTGCATTCAGTGCTTTGCAAACTTTGAAACACAAGAAACTAAAGTCGTGACACCATAATTGCTTCAAGATGTGACACTAACACATTTTAACATCATTAATGTGACTTTTAAACATTTAAGCTAACCGGTCTCACGCCGTCTTGTAGCCTGGTGAAGGAGTTCGTTTCTTTCCAAATCAAAGACAAATGAATTACGCTGATTGATTTTTCTTGGTGATAAATGAGCTGACAAAATGAACAATTTTGTTTGCTGTTATTCCAACTGTGCAAAACATATTTACGCATTTGCGGCTTATTGTAGGGCTCCTGCAATAAAAGTAATGTGCTCAGCCCAAGTTATAATGAACCAGCCAATGTAAAAGGGGGTCAAATTTGTGCATTAGGGTCAGCATACCTCACTAATCCATTAATATCTGCGATTTTCCAACTGCAGCCAGTGATATCAGACAGTTCAGCTTCACCCATCAATACTGGATCCATGAAGAAAAACCAACGTAACAACAAGATGCGAAAAAAGGTTTTTTAGCTGAGAAGGACATGAACTGAAATTTTTATTGATTGCTCAAGGATGCAAAGAGAGTCCTCAGCATGTTTTGGTTATTTTTAGGGGCTGTAGGTAATGTTATCAGTATGTGTCAAACGCTAACAGTAATTATCTAATACAAAGAGACAAAAAGAGTAAAGAGAGACTGTTTTCCATTTAGCCTTTTTAGCTAAATCTGATACATCTCTATGGTGGCTTTCTGTGAAGTTGCTTAATAATAATAATTTTAAAAAGTTGAAAAAAATAACCGTGCAATAAACAGCTCACATGGAGCACAAATGACAATGATCTGTCTAACACCAGCCACCTTGTTGCTCATCTCCTGCCTCGGTAAACGGATCAAACGCACTAGACCTCAGCGTGTGGCTCTAATCACAACCAGACACGGTGACCCTCAAATGAACTCCAATTAGAGCTCACCACGGCACAGAGGGAGCGCATTGCTGCATCAGTTGATGGTTCTGGAAGTCTTAACTTGCCAGCATGTTTATAAAAAAAAAGAAAGAAAGAACAAAAACACCATGGCTGCTGTGATCATCTGCACGGGGAAGCTTAAACTGCAGAGAGAGAAGCTCACTTAGTTCTAACTAAAGCAAAGCATAAGTAGAGAGCATGTGATTGATGATGAGAGCAGATTGAGGACTGATGGGGCTGCTGGATTAGACCCCTTCTCTGTGTGGACTGACACCTCACCTGTCTCGTCTGTTGCACCTGTGACAAGTGAGATGATTTACCCTTTTATCATCTTTAAGAGACATTATGAAAACGATTAGGTTTGAGTTTGCTGTTGTTGCTTACATTGGTACGACTCATTTCCACCTGCAACCCTTCCAACCTGAGGTATCGACCCTTCCTACGTCGATATTCCACTAATGTAAGAGGTCATGCTGCTTTTGTTGCCATGCTGGTAGTGTAGGTAAAATATTTAAAGTGTACCACAAGTAGCTTTTTGTCACTTTGAACTGGGGGATTATCTTTTTGGATCTGCTCCCATGGTGCATTGAAAGATGCAGACTGGATTATGGTGGATTCACATAGATTTATCCCATAATGTGAGCCCTATTTGTTGTTGCAAAGAGCACTGCCAATTTGATTTTAGCAGCTCCTGGTTGCAATGCACCAATAAGTTTATGGACGACTACACTAAATTGCCGATTCACTCACCCATCCAAATCATTTAAATCAGGTGTTCCGATCCCTTCCATGGCCATAGATGTATAAAATCAAGCACCTAGCCATGCAGACTGCTTCTACAAACATACATAAATGAATGGGTCGCTCTCAGGAGCTCAGTAAATTCTAGCGTGGTACCGTGATAGGATATGACTGCACACCCGTAGACAGAGCAAGGTCCACAAAGACATGAATGAGTCAGTTTCGTGTAGAAGAACTTGACTGGCCTGCACAGAATTCTGACCTCAACCCGACAGGACACATTTGGAACAAAACAGAGTGGAAACTGAGCCAGGTCAACATCAGTATCTGACCTCACAAATATGCTTCTGGGAAAATGGTCAAAAATTCTTATAAACACTCCTAAACTTTATAGAAAACCTTCCCAGAATAGTTGAAGCTGGGTGACATCATATTAAACTGGGATGTCACTCAAGTTCATATGCGTTTGATGGCAGACAAGTGAGTACTTTTGGCAATATAGTGTAGCGCTGGATTAGTTCAACACTGAAGATGGCTTAGAAATTTAATAATATCTAGATTGTAGCTACGAAGGAGTTCTAGGATATCGATATGTTTGAATAGTGCAAGCCACACTAAAAATGTGAGTATCACCGCTGGGTGTTTACATTTAGCTGAGATGTTAAAGCAGTTTTTTAAAGCAAAACATGGAAGGGCAGGCAAAGAGGATTGGAAGTCACTTAATTGGCTCCAAAAGCTGAGCGCCGCAGACAGCCGTGTTGCTGAAACTGCTGACTGTTACCGACACAAATCAGGCGCTAAACTAGCATGACTAACTTCCTGTTGATTCTAGAACACCTGCATGCACCTGCCCCTTTCTCTTCACAAAGTATTTCACTGTGGCTCACAGTTTGCTTACAGCAGCCATTAATATTTTTGATGGCATATTTTTAAATTTATGGCAAACTAACTTATTATAACCATCAGGAATTCTTTAATTCACTCACATTAACCTAACATGCATGTCTTTGAACTTTGGAAATCCACGGAGACTCACAGGAGGGAACACGGTCAAACAGGACGTCAAACGTTCCTGCTCAGAGGTGAGAGTGCTAATGCCCAAATGGTATTTTTAAAAAATTGTTGGAAAGGGACACCAAAAGGGCAGGAAAAGCTTTGTAAAAACCAAAAATAATTCACATCACAGTTTTCCTCAGTAACCTTTTTTTTAATAACAGAAACAAGACGATAATTGAATAAAAACTAACACACGATGAAATGCATCGACACCTTCATCAACTAATAAAAGCAAGATTAAAATACTCTGGATACTCTTGTGCAGGTCAAATACGCACATCTGATCTCCCCCCAGGAGCAGGTAGAAAACGAGACAAATGTCAGCGCTTGGGAGGAAGAGAAGAGCAGACGCTTTAACACTTTAACTTTCAGACTTTCTATTTTACTCAGCTTCATCAACTTTGGATGTAGTCTATCGATCGTGGCTCAAGAGTTGGGAGTTCGCCTTGTAATCGGAAGGTTGCCGGTTCGAGCCCCGGCTTGGACAGTCTCTGTCGTTGTGTCCTTGGGCAAGACACTTCACCCGTTGCCTACTGGTGGTGGTCAGAGGGCCCGGTGGCGCCAGTGTTCGGCAGCCTCGCCTCTGTCAGTGCGCCCCAGGGTGGCTGTGGCTACACTGTAGCTTGCCATCACCAGTGTGTGAATGTGTGTGTGAATGGGTGGATGACTGGATATGTAAAGCGCTTTGGGGTCCTTAGGGACTAGTAAAGCGCTATATAAATACAGGCCATTTACCATTTACCATCTAATGATATTTAGTCAACTAAAACTAAAATAATTTCAATGCCTAAATTTTGACGACACTTAATTAAAATTTGCTGTCAAAAGGGAAACATGCCTCTGTCACAATGTTTTGAAAACTTTTTGCTATAATTTGATAAGATGTGTTTTGTATAATTTTCAGTTCAATACAGGCTTTAAAAGCAAATAACTGCTTTCTGTTTTTAATTAGTTTCACGCAGCATTCCAACTACTTTGGAATCTGGTTGTAGTTGACCCAACAGTCTCATTTAGCACTGCAGGAATTGTTTTCAGCTGTTTAACCCCAGTATACTTTCATAGAATCATCACACAGCGAAAGTTGAAAATCAAAATTTGAGGTGACTAAAAATAAAATCATGACTTCCATCCATTATAAGCATGCACAAACCTCTAAGCCTTTAGGTGTTGAAATGTTTTATGTTGTCAGTCTCATCCAGGTAACCCGTGAAGCTGACCTTTATTACAGAATAAAACAAATCTGCAGCAGATACTGAGAGAAGGACTAAATGTGTTGTTAAAACGTCCTTGCATGAGGACTGCAGTGCTCAAAAACACCACTAGATGTCATCAGAAAGCCTTTAGAACCACTTCACTGTTTTCCTGGTGAGACACCATTCAGTCAATACAGAGAAACACACACTGGATGATTTATTACTGTCTGTCCTTTTGCAAAATGCTACTCACCAGCTATTCACTAGCATAAATTAAATTAGAAGGTTTTTCTGTGAAGAGGATACAAGGCCCCATGAACACCCACGCATGCAAACACACAATCTGCACTCATCTCCAGGATACACGAAGTGGCACTAGGCAGGAAGTGGGTATTAACCTGTGCAGATGAAGCTGGGGCTGCCACCGTGGATCAGGTCGTCGTTATCGGGCAGGATGAACGGACAGCTCTGCTGGACCTCCAGGCAGTACTGGTGGCACGGCACCTTCTTCTGGCAGGACTGCTGGGTGGTGGGGAAATACTGAGCACACAGCCAGGGCTTATAGGCCGCCTGAGGAGGAGAAGGAGGAGGAGGAAGAAGAATTAGGCAAGAAAATTACATAAATAGATGCAGGTTCATGGTCCACAAGAGGATTGGAGGAAGTTACTGCATTTGTCTCTGCTGGGTATTGGCCCTCCCCTTGGTTCAAATAGCTTTCTTCACAATAACAAATAAATATCTAGAGGTCCACTAAGCGTCACATGTTTTTTCCACCAAAATAGAACAGCAACACTTCACACATCAATCTAACAGCCACTGGGATATTAGAGGTTACTGTTCAAAGATTAGCTAATCAAAGCTACGCCAAATACAGAGTAATCATTGGCAGGCAGGACTTTTTTTTCCAATAAAGCCATTAAAGGCACTAAATATCTTAATATCCACGATGTCATCAGTGACTCATCTAGGATTAGGGACAGGGTTTGGTTAACATCTGCCCCCTTCTGAGGGACTTTTTGCGTGTTTGAAACAGCCAAATGGAAAATCGTTTAACAGAAAAAAAAACAGTCATGACAAAAACGTACGAGACTTTATTTCAAAGCAAAGGGGTGTTTTTAATCTGCTGTGGTGTGTTTGGCTGCTTGCTGCATGCCAGTGCAATCAAAACCAAATGGCACAAAATAAACTCACCACATTTCATCCTGCGTCTTCTTCCAAGTTAAATTTGCTTTAGTTCACTGTGAGGCAGGATGTAATACAAAACGCACAGACTTATGTGCATAAGGAGACAGATGGTGACATGTAATAGCCAAAGCCTCGAGCTTGGAAAGCTTAGCAAAACTAAATGAACCGAGGGCATACCACAGTCTGGATTCATTCTCATTCTTAGCCATTTCTTTGTGTGTTTTATTGGGATTAACACAGGAGAGGGGAAAGAGCACAGACGATATCAAGCAGAGACTGAAATCAGATTTGTTTAGGACCCCACCGCCTACTGCGCCAACCCGGTGGGACCAAAGATCACTGTAAGTTCGATAAGTGCCCTCTAACACAGTCTTTAAAGGTGGACAGGCACTTTCCCCCATCCCATCTACCTTTGTAGCTAGCTGGGAACCTTTAAGCTGAATAAACCTATGCCTCAAAAAAAAGAGTTGGCATGATGGGACACACACCGGATGCTTTTGTTTCCTTGGACTGCTTACAATGTTACATGCTTCCTATGAGCCAGCTTTCTTTGCTCTACCTGGAGTTGGCAACACAATTTTTCAGTTATTGTCTCATGGAAGCCACAAAGACATGCAATGAAAAGCTGTGTCAGTTAAATAACAGCGGAAATGTGCTGCTATTAAGTGATGAAAGCCACTAAAAGAGTCATTAGGCTGCCTGACACATTTAAGCAATAGAGGTACAACAGCAATTTTCAAGTGATGAATCAAAGACAAAACAAACCATTACCAACAGTCATGTAATTACCAAATAGTACAATGCTAAAATCTTGCCATGAGCCAAGTTTTGCACTTACTAATGAATGCTGCAATAACGCAATCTGAGTTTTAAGGGGAACACCACCAATGTTCCACATTAGTATGAAGCCTTTTAAAGTTGGGAAAATGAAAATAAAAGCCCATCTTGGGCGTGGTGGAGCCTGTGATATGCTTTTTTTTTTTTTTAATCTTTAATGTTGCTTCACACTTCTCCCTTTCCTGGTAAACTGTCGCTCTCTTCCCCGTTCCAACCCACTTCTCAACCAATCAGCATTTGACCTATGCCCATTCTAGCTACACGATGTTGCGTTTTTGGAGGACTGCGCGGGAACATGCTTGTGCATGCTGAAAACCCCGCTTTGTAGGCAAACAAAATAAAACTCTATTATGCAATATGTGAATACAATCCATCTTCTCTGAGCCAACGCTCATTTAAAATGGATTAATGCAAAGCAAAAAAACTACCCTGTGGCCAGACAAACTGGATGTTGACCATCCGGCTTGTCATTGGCACACACTTAAAAAACCTGTGTCGCTGAATGCATGGGGGGGCATTAGTGCTCATGGAATTGAATGGTATATACACGTTTTAGAGGAACATATGGTCCCATCCAAATTAAATCTTTTTCAAGGGAGACCATGTCAAACTACATACTGTATCTATTACAAAAGCATGGCTTTTGTAGCTTTTGTAAGAGTCCAGGTGGTGAACTGGGCTTCATGCATTTCAGGCCATTTACCTGTTGAAAACATTTGGAGCATCATGAGACAAAAACCATGACAAAGAAGACTCAGGACTGCTGCAGCAGCTTTACTGCTGTTAAAAGAAGAGGTGATACTACACAGTGTTAAACATGGGTCTGCCCCAACTTCTCTGAAGTGTGTTTCTGGCATCATATATTTTTCTTCAAATTGTACATTTTGTCAGTTAATAAGATTTGCAAATCACTGCCTTCTTCTTTTATTTCTATTGTAATCATTTTTTAAAATTTGGTTTTATATTTTTAGCACTAAAACTATTCTTTATTGTTAACCTTAAAACTGTCAGTTACCGTGTAGATGCTCACCAGTATCAATACAATCCAATAATATGGCAGTGTTATATATTGATTTTTGCGCCATCATCTTTTGAATTTACGAAATGATTTTTAATCTAGAATTGATCCCTTGATACGTGTGATAATGTAAGCCTGTGCCTGTCTCTTTAAGGCCTTCCCCCTCCTCTATTATGATTGGCCAGTTTCCAGAAGCATCCACCTTCAGACTTTAATAAATAACAAAGTAGCAAACTTTAGCTTTTTGTCTTCTTTTTTCAAAAATTTAACTTACTTAAACTCAATTTAATCATGAAAATGAATCTGATTTTAAATATTTAAGTGAAAAACTAAGTAAACAACTTTAACAATTTAGGCAAACTAAATAAATACAAAACTGTTCAAAAGTAAACAAAAGTGATGGGGCCTTTAAATAATAGATGTGAATAAAATCAAAAATTTTGTATGTGTAATGATAGTCATAAACCTCCGAAATGAAACAAACAAAACTAACAAAAAAATCCAAAGGGAAAGACAAAACGGTGCAGGCACAGTTAATTATCCCTCCGTGTTATTTAACCACACAGAGACATCCATGCTTTGGAGGCGGGGCTGTCATTGTGGTTCGACTCCTCGTGGTTTTAGATGTTTGTTTAAATTGTACCCAGGTAAATCTTCACCTCTAGCACTGGCCTCCCACATGTGCGTCTCATTTCCTATTTATGCCAATATACAAAGATAACAAACAGTGCACAGGCAATTATATTAATTATAATAATCTGATTAGGATGATGGGAATCATAATGATGAGAACAATGTGCTTTGTAAAATCTAATATATTCCAGACACGTATGACTTCATGTTCACTCTACATGCATCTGCAACATACTGTACTGTTGGGCTTATTTCCAGGAAATACACTCATCCGTCAAAGCAAAAGGAGAGGGGGAAAAAGTCAATGCTGTTTGGGATTTAGAGGGAAAATCTGTCTCTGTTTAAATCCAAGCTCACACTTGCAAAAAACAACAACAAACTGCTGTGGACTATAGTGACTACACCTCTTTGTTTTTTGGAGGGTAATTTAGATAGACCACACCAACAGTGTAATTCCCATGATTCTCTGTTTTTGGTAAAAGCGTTGTTACGGTGAAGTGGCTCAACAGCTCAACGTACAGAGGAAAAAACAAGCTCAGGGCCAAGATAAAAATCAGACAGATCAATGAATGGGGGTTTATCTTTCAAGAGTTTGTTGGAGTGTGACGTGTAAAATCCGTGACCGAGGATTTTCACTGTGCCGGCTTCTTGTCTGCGCATATGCTGCTGTTTAATTTGCAATCATTTTATATAAATTCTCACCGCCGTGAGATAATCCGTCTAGGGATACCGCGGCTATCAAAAGAGAGCCAAAACAATACGATCGCAGTGAGACAGGAAATCTGGGTCCTCCTGAAGATGTATGCTGGCAGTTGCCAAGGTAACGGCTTTTTCTGCTTTTCATTAGAGCTCAATGGGTACTGCCCCACTCTCTGTCGGTTTGTCTGTTTGTGTGCACATGTTTAAGCGTGCAAGCAGGTCTATGTGTGTCTGCGTGTGTGTGTAAATGTGTGCGTGCGTATGCTCAGCGTGAAAAGGGAAACGTACAAGAGCAAATTGAGTTAGTCAGGAAGCAGGCCTGGAGTCTGATTTGATCAGTCTAATGTGTGATCAGTGTGAATGGGAACCTGGCACTCAAAAAGCCTCTGTCGCCATGCAGCTTAGTCTGCTTCGTACAATTTACTGAAGCCCAGAGACACAGACAGGAAAGACACCAAGCTGGCAACTGCTTCCACCAGGGCTTTACTCCCTGCAGCTGATTTCAGCAAAAGCCCATCTATTTGCACAAAGAGCTTCAGTCCTGTTTAGATGCCACACCTGACAACACATCACGTGTCGGTTAGTCGCTGTGTTTTGGGTATTAACTCTAGAAATTTAAGTAACTTTCTCCCAAGCCAATTATTTAAAGCTGAAGAATAAATAAGAATAAAAATCCCATTTAAGTGCTAATGTTCTGCCAGATAAGTGTCAGCAGTGATGACTATTATATGAGACAGGTTGAGGTTTAATGCTAGAACAACCAATGGTTGTTTACAGTATGCAGTGCATTAATTGTTTTTAAACTTCACAACTTGTTAACTATTACACAAGACACTTAACTTCTATAGCACTGACTACTGTGGGTTTGGTCTTTTGCTGTTTAAAAAAGTAAGGCCACCTGTCCATTTTCATGGTGCACATTCACTTGGGAAAAGCTAGTTAGCTTTTCTTTCTTTCTTTAAGGTTGACTTAGGTGGTAGAACGGGCAGTCTAAAAATAGGATTTTAGGTTTTTTTTAAGGTCTTTTCATACCTGTGGTGTTTAGTCCATTGCAATCAAGCTCGGTGCGGTTTGTTTGTGCAGGTGTGAATACAGTAATCGCTGAAATGTGGACCAAAAGAACCACACCGCGACCACCTCCTCCAAAGAGTCTTGGTGCAGTTGTTTTCGTTGATTTCAACTCCAGAGCGGTTTGTTT